TTTTCCATTTGAATGCATGCAACTCATCTAAAGTTCTTCATTTATGCGTATGAAGTGTTTTCATGTTAGTCTGTGATGAAAAGGCTAGACTTGAAACTTGAACAAAACAGTGTACCAGTTCAGTGTCTTACTCTTCACTATATCGCAGTTAGCGGAAATCACCGGGACAAATGGAAAAAAGGATATCGAAAAGAATGCGTATAGACAATCTCTCTCTTAGGATCGACTAGATGAATTCATATATTATCTTCATTTTATTCTTCAAACTAAATAAACTTCAGTATCCCCTCATTTCTTCTTTCTTCCTCTTCACTACTCTTTACCACTTCTAACTTCTTTCTTCTTCGTCATTTTGGTGTATTCCCATTTGATGTGGTGATATGAAGTCTCACAGCTTAAACTGTCCTACAGTAATGCCAGGTTTTATATTGATATTACTATCTATCTGTCATCAGTTGAATCACCTGTCATAGTATATTCATTAAATGTAGTTAGAAGTGATCTTTGTTCTATCGTTAATTGAAATTAACCACAGCCGTCTAGTTGTTGGATACAGGGTCGTATCGCTCGATCTTTATTGGCAGATGGGCTTCTATGTAGATGTTTCGATACTACTGTTCGATCACTCATTATGTTGTAATCTCCTTGGTAGCTAGCAATGGAACCTAAGGCGCAGTTTTTATCCTCTTTAGAACTCGTCAGCGTGATATATTTGGACCCCAAAGAGTAATGTTGTTCCCACTGAGACTCACTGCTGTTTGGAGATGAATGAGTATCTCACTTACTCCAGGATCTGAGTCACCCACTGACTACCTGTCGTCGAATTCCTATAAAATGCATGCCATTAATTTATGCCAGTCGTAAGCATACAGAATATCTAGACTTTCTAGTTTTTTTTAATGTGATCATGGTAACAATATTAGTTATTCAGTAGATTAATAGTATACAGTTAGTTCACATGTTGTTAATTCTACCATGTTATGCACATATCCTATTATTTTAAGAGTATCCTTGCTTCACTATACCCCTTCTGTTGTTTTTTTTCTCCCACCATAATCTCACTATATTTCTACATCTGTAAGAAACATGCAGATTTCAAGCGATGGACTATTGTGAATTGTCGAACGGTGTCTTCTAAATCATTCTTCTAGTTATCTGGTAATATTAACGAGTTTGATGCTGGGGGTGGGGGGTTGGATACAAATCCTTCTTTGATGTAACATGCGTGATAAGATACCTTGAACCTACTTTTCATACTTCTTAACATTCATTAGCTAGCAGTATTTTAAACTTTCATAGAACACATGTTATTCTGAAGATTGGAACTTGTACTACTTTTGAGATCAAATTAAGCTCTGTTCTTTGTATCGACACACTTCTATTTCCTTATTGTTAATGATATTGAACACTGAACTATTACTACATGGGTTAACATATTCACACCTATTCAATGCTTCGTATTCAGTCCGTTTTATTGCTTCCAGTTATTTAAATTACAGAGCTTACACAAAGAAGTGCATCATACAGAACTCGTTTAGGGATTCTTCATAACCCAACAGATGCTAATTCAATACCACCAAGATCAATATAACATCATGAATATCCGGCAGTATCAAGGCTTCCGCATAGAAACCTATCTTCCAACAGAAGTTTAGCTATTCCGTCCTACATAGCAACGAAAGTTATATATTTTAGCCGTGGTTTGGCAGACTATTTACACTGGGTGATGATTGTAGGTAAAATGAAAATTTGAACCGTGACTGGATTCGAACCTCGCAGTTCAGTTGGTAGAGCATTGTGCCAGAAACCCGGTAGTCGCTGTTTCGAATCCGATCACTGTCTAAATTTTCATTTCACTTCCAACCATCATGCGGCAAAACAAGCATTCCTTTCTACAAATTATTATTATATATCATTTGGATTCCTAGTGAAACATATGACTACAGTAGAACGTCGCCATTTCACTCTCTTCTCTGCAGTTTTTCGAACTTGGCTGCACGACTGCCCATAAGCTTTCATTTCTCTTCTCCATGTCACCCTCAGCTGGTACGCCCAACTCGTCGTTTCCTATTTGGGTTCCACTCCACGGCCTCGCATGGCCTGGTGCGTGAGTTTCCCGAAGGGTCTTCTCGATGTATGTTCAGTCCATCTCCATTTCATTCTGCATATCTGTTGGGTGATGGGTTCTTGGTTGGTTCGTTGCCAGCCAGCCAGAGTTCCTTGTTACTTATTCTTGTTATTCTGGCCATCTGATCATGGCTTTGAGATTCTAATCTATGCCTGTGCCGCTTGTAGTTGAAACGGTGCTGCGTTGCCTAGGTAGGTGTTAAGTGAAGAGGAGAGCTTCTTTTAGATTTGTTCTGTTGATGGTGATTGGTGCTTGTTGTTGTTGTCGGTTGAGTATCTTCATCATCTGTGTCTTCTCTCCTTTCACCTGAAGGAAGTCCTGTCTTCGCTGCCTCACCTGTTCTGTCAACTTGTTGGTTGTCGCCTGTAGATGTTCGAGTTTGTGCGATAAGAAAGTAGACATAAATTGTCATTGGTGATATCCAAATGTTGTTGTGGGGTCGTTTCATCGGTTCAGCCAAGGTGTGCCCCACTTCTCGCTCCTCACAGTTTGTTGCATGATGCAGTCGAGTCGAGTCGACCACAATCAAGATGATCGGTGATAGTAGGCGGCAACCTTGTCTTACTCCTGTCTTCACTTGAAAGTCATCACTGAGCATTCCATTGTGAGCCACTTGGCATATAGTGTCGTGATATAGCATATAGCTGCTGTTGAATGAGTTTAATAAAGGTTTGTGGCACTGAAACCGTAGTGTTGAAGCAGTTTCCAAATAACTTCTCTGTCTATGCTATCGAAGGCTTTTTCGAAGTCGATGTAGTTGAGGTAGAGTTAAGTTGATTGCCATTGTGTGCTATGTTCTGTGATGATGCATAGCGTATCGTTGCAATTTGATCAGCCTGTTGAATGCAGAGCATTTTTTAGTCTCTCCAGGATGATGCGGCCTAATATTTTGCTTTCTTGGGGTGGACAGGAGCATGATTCCGTATGAATTCTTGCAAAGACTTAGATTGTCCGCATTTGTTTAGGAGTTTGACAAGGTAGTCCTTCTTCCGATCAATCGGCGGTTGCCTTACCTTTCATTCCTTCCAAACCATGTGGAATATTGGTGTCAGCATGTCTGCTGCTGATGTTTCTGCGTCTGTGCTTGTGGAGAAATTCCATCTGGTCCTGCTGCTTTGTCGGTTTGCATCAACTTTATGGCATTCAGGACCTCTGCTTTTGTTGGAGGGTTTTTTTACGAATAACTTCACAATAAAAATCATACTTATACCGCAGTGACGACTAAACTAGGCTAGCGTTATACTAAAATAGATTTATCGATCCAGTACAATAAAGTGAAACAATGGGGAGAGCTGTAAAGTATACATGTTTTGTTTATGACTTTCTCATGTTTGTTCTTACAATTTATAGTTGATTCCTAGTTATTTGAATAGTGATAAGATGCTATATACCGTACAAATGAAAATAAGTATCCGCCAGAGAATTTGAATGCCCAGGGAAGAATAGGTGGGGGTAAATAGTGCTTTAAAATCAGTGGCCTCGGGTTTGACGAGATTCAGTACTGACCCTGACCGTAAATTTAACGAGCTCACCAGGGTGGAGATGCACGGCCAAGCATCCACAACACTGGGCACGTCATCCTATCATATTACGTCGCTCGTATACAATCCTTTAGCCAGTTAGTCAGAACGTATCTGCATTTTCGCACGGTTGATCGAATATTTTATTCTGCCTGACTACTCTATCGTGTTATTTCTTGGTCTCCCAATTGAGAGTATATTACAAGTAAGAAGAATTGGTGTTCGATCTTTGCGCACATCAGGTTTGCATAAGACCCATTCCAACTCTGCTACAAAAGCCAAGACCCTCTATTAATATAAGTGCTGTTGTTTAGTCGCCTGTATATCGCCACATACGGTAACCCTTGAGTATTTTCGCCGTAAGTCTCAAGGCTCAGATTGATTACTTGCTGAACATTCTCCAGAAAATTCACTCCCAAGGTGCATCTCCGCTGTTTCACTGGGACTGATCTGCGGGTTCGTGTGAATCTCTCATTCCATTCATCAATATGAGCCTGAATATCACGTTTTTCGTCATCACAATCATGAATCATCCTCAACCTCTTGATATCGCCATCAAATAACAATCATGGTGGCGGAAGTATCCCCGATATTCCATCGTCCTGAAAAGCGGAGAGTAATGTTCCAAGGATGGCTCCCTATGGAATGGTACTTGTGACGGGTTACCACTCAGAAAATCTTACACCAACTCTTCCCCTTTGCTTTTGTCGTTTGAATATCCCTTATTCTGTGCTTGAACCCCGATTATCACCAACGGGTTTCAGAGGATGCTTCACCAATTCTACGCGTGAAGCCTCATCAAACACCTTGCCAAGGTCATTAAACACCACTTGGTTTTTATAGTCTCTAGCCACAACTAAGTTCTCCCTCCCCGGGACTTCGCTCGTCAAACAAGGCAGTTCACTTTGGGATCCTTTCAGTTTCTGTGACGGAAGGTTATGTGTTTCTGAACTTTTCAATATCCCATGACACGCCATCTTCTACACTGTCTTGATCACGATACCAGCAAGACTAACTGGCCGGGAACCGGTGATCAGGTGGCTGTAACCCTAAAGACTGGACTTATCACAGCATCCTTCATATTCCCAAAGAACCGCACTAGAAATTATGCGACAACAAACGAGTTTCAGTGGATGCGTAACTGCTCTGAGCCAGGCGACGTTCAAGTCCTTAACTTTTTTATGGTCAGAGGATATTCTGTACAGTGATTTCCATAGATTCCATTACAGAAATGCCTGAAGATCTATCAGCACTCAGAATCTCATCACAATTATCAGCACAGAATATAATATCTTATGCCTTATTTTTTTTCTCTCGTTTTTTTTTTGCATTATTTATATTCTTATTTCTAGTGATTCAGGCATGTCAGCTAATGTTGCTGTTGTTACTGCCTATTTGATGACAATTTACTCATTAGATTATTATTCAGCTATTGGAGCTTTAAGAGGTCTACGATTTGGTGCACATCCAGTGGAACCATTACAACGACAATTATTAGAATTTGATAGTATATCTACTGACAAAGATGCAAAAAAGTGTATTAAATCTGACCGAGAACAATATCAACCTTTAGAATATAAAACAATTTATCGTTTTCCAACAAATTTAATTATTACCTCAGGAACAGAACGAGAAAGACTAATTTCAATCTATGGTAATTGGCCATGTATTGAGGTATGTATAATACACTGTGATATATATATTTCTTCCTCTTTTTTCTACTGAGTTCATGTGTCACTTTGATATTTCTTTCCTGCTGTATTAATTGTGTAAGATCGAAAGAAATACTCTATCGATTTCTTTGAATAATATATACTCTCTCGTGCCAACATTATGATAATGTTGTTACATGTGGTTAAAGTGAAAGAAGCAAAAGACAGGTATACAGGATGGAATGTTTACTGTCAACACATGTGACAGTTAGTCGTTAAATATGGTACACCTTGCCCTAAAACCGTTATTTGCAAAAAAAAAAGAAGCTTCATTTCCTCTTCTGCTTCTTTCTTGTTTCGCTATTCATACGCCTGCCTTGTCTCTTGCGTTTCTTTTGGCGGAATCCTTACCCATTGCTCGTAATTCCCTATGATTTCTGTCCCCCTCTCATCCATTCTTATCAGCAACGCCCACTACAAAAGTAGTAACTGTTCATTTCACTTCGCGTATATATAGTGTATAGCTCATCATGACATCAATTATTTCTGTAAGCTTATAAGTATAGATGGTTACATGGAAGCTATTGAATTCAGACACCGAATATTCACACTGCTCCAGGTTTTGGAACACACGAACGCTTACCGACGCCCGATAATAACGGGCTGCATTGCCTTATTGAAGGCAAGGCTCTCTACTCAAACACTTTTGGGCGTGTTAGAGCCTATGGTGAGATGTACAGGGAGCCGTACTTGTCGAGCGGTGTCCATCAAGGCTGCTCATTGTCTCCATTCTTATTCAATTTTATCATAGACATTCTTATAGAGGTCTCCCTTTCGAAACTTGACCACACAGAGATTGATCTAATCGCGGGAGAATTTTCATTAGACCTAGAATACAGATAGTCCTGCTAGGTGAAGAAGCTGACAAGATGGAGAGTCTTCTGGACACAGTGAGAATTCGAGAATGATTGGGATGTGTTTACCACCACTCAAATGCAAACCGTTGCTCTAGGACTAGTCTTCAACGGTGCCATGGCTAACAATAGAGAGTGTAGTAGTTGAGTATGTTGACCACTTCACTTATCTGGGAAGTGGGATCACCCCTGGTAGCTGGCTCAGGGGCCGATGAAATCTCTGCACGAAAACAAAAGGCTCGGTTGGCTTTTACCATCAGCTCCAACTGTGGCGCTTCCGTGATATCCGATTGTATATTAAGGGTCGCGTGTACTGAACAGCAGTCCGGTCTGTTCTACTGTGTGTGTATGGCTGTGAAGCATGACCATTGAAGGTGGAAGACATGAGAAGGCTGACTTCAGATGTTTGACCACCGTTGCCTTCGTAGTATAGGTTATATTCCGTGGTGTCACACGGTAACGCAGAAGTCATGCTCAGTTTTAAGTAAAGAGGTGAGTCAGTTGACACGGTTATGTGAAAAAAAGTTCTTCTGTTTATTTGTGTTTGTGCGAATGTAGAGCAATAATAAAATTAACTAATCAATACTGTTGGATCACTTGATTTAACCGTCAATATGGCCATAATACCTTTCATGTGATTTTCACTGCTTCTACGCCTGATATCATCTGTGCATAATTCTGATATCAAGCAAGTGTTTTCATGATAAGGTATGCGTGTTTGGGTGTTTGTGGTATTAATCATACAAGAAATAATCGATTTAAGATGTACTTGTTAAAGTGACCGAGTGAATAATAAATACACGATAAGATACGGATAGGGACTGTTCTCCTTCAGGACCTTGTACTTCACTGGGCTGTGAAAATCAAATAGCAAAGAATGTTCTGTAACTGTAAGGAGGACACTCTTTTTCGACAAAGTACATCGTTTATATACAATTTTCATGAGCATATAAAAATCACTAGGTGTATAGTTGAATAGCTTATTCTGATTAGTCAGCTGTAGAATGAAATTGTCCAATAGGGTTTTTCTTCCTCTCCGTCAGCTGTATACTAGAACTGTGTAAATAAATGTTTTGCTTCTAGTGCTATGCACTGGCTGAACTTTTTCCTGATAAGTACAGTTTCACTAGTGTATCATAATTATTGTGTGAGTTGAACACGCAGAAAGTTTCTAGTGAGAGCATACTTTGGAGCTGTGGCTAATTGGTCTAGCTTGTCGACTTTCAGCCAGTGAGTCATGTGCTAGCTAGCCTAGATGCACGTACTGAGATCTGAGTAACCAGGTAATGAAATTGATCCTCATACAATTAGTGTAGCTCATTACCTCGACTGTACAGATGTGGATGGGGTTTCTGATATATATATTTCAATTTTTTTTTGTCATTCACAGGATGAAAATCTTTGTTTTCAAGTTTTATCGCAAACACTTTGCTGTTGAATATTACGGTATTGAAATCCGACAGTTAACATTCTCTTCTTTCAAGCAAATCGATACAGAGAACAACTGTCTTTAAAAAAAACCACAACATCGATTTTTCGTCAAATTGGTTTGAAAAACTAGGCAGATTTCAAGCCTGAATCGATCAAGTCTTCACCCTTCATCAGGTTACGGGACGCAAGCATACCTACTAGTGACGTTCGACTCTGTCAATCATGTAGTGTTGTCTGACTATAAAAGATATACCGAGCAACTATGTAACACTGTCTTCTGGAACTCATGCAACCGTATAATGGTTTATTGAAAGATATGATATGAATGAATGACAACTAGTTTTGTCTGTTAGAGATGCCGGTTGTCACAGTTCCTACCTACCTTCGTCACAAATTTACTAACGGATATAAACGTAGATACCTCTGATTTCACAGGGATTGACTTACTCCATATTGAACATTTGTTTGACTTGGAGTACGCAGACGGAATTGTCCTGCTAAATGAAGACGCTAATAAAATGAAGGGTCTTCCGAACACCTTGTAATGAAATTTGATTATATTTGGTTAGCATGCGTTTCGTAGCTACCTAATGTAAGTTGGTGCTCTAGGACTGGCCTGCAACTATTCCTTGTGAAGTGGTGAAATGTGTCAACCACTTTACTTACTTGGGGAGTTACATGAACTTAGACGAGCTGCTTGCTGATGAAATCTCAGTTTGGATAGAGAAGGCCTGTTTGGCATTTACCGACTTTCATCACCTGTGACGCCAACTGTCGAGATATCCGATTATCTATCAAAAGACGAGTATACTCCTCTACAATCCGTTCTCTCCTGTTATATGGCTCTGGGACATAGCCGTTAAAACGCGAAGACATGAAACTGTTACACGTTTCTTCGGGGCATTGGTCGCGTTTCGTGGAATCACCATGTTTACAGTATACTAACAGTTGAACGCAGCGTCTATTGTTTGAAATGCCTGAATTCTATTGACTACTGAGTTATGATCCCCAGTCTTTGTTCAACAGGTATAGTTTCCTGTTTTCCTAACTGTAGTGAGTTGATGAGCGAATTGCTACTCTTCTACCCTCCTCTTTTTGTCTAGTTCTCCTTTGTTTAATGTTTTTCTTGTTTATCATCAAGGAGGACTTACAAATTCTGCATGATGCCTTAAATTCTTACCTGAATTCCACTGAAGAATCAGAATTTCTATTCAGTAGTTATGAAAAAACAGAGGATGAAGCAACTAAGAAGGCGGAGAAAAGTTTACCAGAATCGGACCTTATTATTACCGAACCAAAAGTCGTTGCAAATACTGAAGATGGCGATAACAGTAATAATACTAATGATAACACTAACATTATGTCTCATGCTTCTCTTTCATCTCCTGGTCTGGCTGCATATGACACCAATAACACAAACGTATATTCAAAAGATTTTGAAAAATCTGACTCAACACCCTTGGTCAGTGTAAAAGAAGATATTCCGGCTAAAAAGAGTCTGGATAGTCGAACACTTGCAACTACACCGACGAATGATGCCTTTGGGATATCAGGTTAGTTTAATTATTCTGTTGGGATTATAATTTTTGTACATTACACACACACACACACACACACACACACACACACACACACACACACACACACACACACACATCGAGTAACAGGTCATTACATGTTGCGTTGTAATGCCTTTTTAAAGTGTTTCTTCTTAGTGATCTTGTCTACAGTGGGGGTAATTGTTTTGAGGATTCGAAGAGAATTTATTATTTCACATGCTTCACCCATTGGGCAGCATGCTTCAGCTAATTTTCAGTCAGTATTGCCGACTGTTGTCGACCGACCGATAGCTGCTACCTTGATGTGGTGGTCGGGCTTGCATATCACAATGACCCAACGAGCTATGCTGGTGGAACGCTTGTTCCCTCGAGGTCCTACCATACCAGAAAGGTCTGTTGGGTAGTGGTTAGACGAAAAGCAGTTACCGTTATAGTGTAAATTGCTACACTATGATGGGGGTCTGAGGGCGAAGTCGTACTGCTGCTAGCTGGATGGGGTGTGACAGCAGTAAGGTGTTTCCCTTGGATGACCAGCAGTGCCAAGCTGATGCTGCCTTCTCAGTGGAAGGGGGGGTTAGAAAAGGTCGGCCCCAAAAATAACACACTCCACCACGCCCCACGGTCTGCCGGGCCGGCGGTGTTGGTTCACTTGTCGTTTCCTTTCGACCATCCGGCCCCAAAAATACAAAAATTCAAAATAATCATACTCAAAAGGCTGGGTGTGACAGGCCTCAAGCAGATGTCCGATGGGCTCTGCGGTCACACAAATCTCTTTCAGGTACCTTAAGAAGAAATAGCCTTCCACGGTGTGGGCAGCCGGGAAGTGTCAACCGCCCTCACAACTCTGTCAGCACCCAAGTTTCTTCTGACTGCTATCCTCCTCCTCCATCATTACCTTCTAATCTTCCTTCACGTCTCTTAATTAATGATGCTGCATCATCTTCAATTTCTCCTACCTCTGCAGCCTTCGACAACGATCTGAGTCCACAGAACAGCATCCCTGGTCTCCTTAAACCACGCTCCAAATTACATATTGGAGCCTTCAATGTCCGCACCCTCCGTCAAATTGGCCAACAGGCTTCGTTGGCAAAGACTCTAGCAACTCGGGCATGGATGTGTGCTGTGTTTGTGAGACACGCATACAGGACCCAAGTGTGGTTATTCACCTGACCTCTCCTGACCAATCTGGTGAATCTGCAAAATTCACCCTTCGAGTTTCTGGAGATTCGATAGCTAGCTCTCGTGGTCTTGCAGGTGTAGGTATAGCATTAAGCACCAGGGCAGAAAACTCACTACTAGACTGGATCCCAGTTGATAGTCGCCTCTGCGCTATGAGGCTGAACGGCACAGTGAGAACTAAAAGGAATAGTGAGACTCGCCGTTGTCTCTTTGTAATCTCTGCTTACGCACCCACTGACTGTAGTTCGGATGAAGTGAAGGACGAGTTCTACCATAAACTGTCTAACCTCCTCTCGAAAGCCAAACGTTCGGACGTAGTGGTTGTTGCAGGTGACCTCAACGCACAGGTGGGTAGACTGAGTGAGGCAGAAAGGCACTTAGGTGGCACTTTCGGAATCCCAGCTGAACGTACAGATAACGGTGATCGCCTATTACAACTATGCTCAGATAACCGCCTATTTTTAGCCAGCACAAATTTCAGACATAAAGAAAGGCACTGTCTGACCTGGCGTCCACCGAGCTCGACTCAGCGATGGACACAGATAGACCACATTGCTATTAGTCATCGCTGGAGAGGATCGGTGGAAGACTGCCGCTCCTTCTGGAGTACGTGTTTGGACAGCGATCATGCGTTGGTCCGAGCACGTATATGCCTGCGTCTCAATGGACGTAGAAAAAATTTGGCAACAAAACCACTACGAGTTCTGCTGGACAACGAAAACACCAAAGCCGTGTTCAGTGAGAAGTTGGCTAGGCAGTTATCGGAACAAAAGACTGTCACTCATCCAGAAGAAGCTTGGTGCCATCTTCAGTCTACTGTAAAAGCAGCACTGGAGACTGTAGCCGACTCCAAGATAATGGCTAAAAAGAGCCAGTGGATATCAGCAGCTTCTTCCAAACTAATGGATGCACGTGAATGCATCCCTGCAGGCTCTGAGTACAATGAAGAGCGAGCGCAACTTAAAAATAACTGACGAAAAGTCTGCGCAACGATCGTGAACAGTGGTGGGCAGCAAAGGCTAAAGAGATGGAAAAGGCAGCGGCGATCGGTAACAGTAGACAGTTATTTAGACTTATTAAGGAGACTGGGGGGAAATGGTCAACAACAGTTAGTGAGGTTATAGCGGAGAAGGACGGATTGCGATTCACTCGCAGGGAAGGCGACTGGGACGATGGGCAGAACACTTTGAGGAACAGTTTAACTGGCCTCCAGCCACCATTGCGCTGCCCGCTATCCAGTCGGACCCTGAATGGGACATAGAGACAGGTCCCCCAACACTAGAAGAAGTTGAGAAAGCGGTAGGTAGCCTGAAACGGGAAGGGCAGCAGGACCAGACGGACTACCTGCTGAGGTATACAAGAATGGTGGTAGAGTTCTCTTAGTCAGGCTAACGGAAGTGTTAGCCAGTATATGGGAATCAAATACGATCCCCTCCGACTGGTCTAAGTCACTCATCATCCCAGTCTTCAAGAAAGGCGAGAAGTCCTCTTGTGATAACCACAGAGGAATCAGCCTGACAAACATAGTGTCTAAGATCCTAAGTTCTATAATTCTCCGACGCCTGAGTGGAGCTCGGGAACAGCAAGCCCGAGAAAACCAGGCAGGCTTTAGACCTGGCCGTGGATGTATCGACCAAATATTCACACTGCGCCAGGTCCTGGAACATAGGCATGCTTACAGACGCCCGACAATAGCTGTATTTCTCGACCTGAAGGCGGCATTTGACTCCGTTGATCGAGAAGTCTTATGGCAGTGTCTGTCACTGAAAGGCGTGCCTAGTAAGTACATCACCTTATTGAAAGCTCTCTACTCGAACACTTGTGGGCATGTTAGAGCCTATGGTGAGTTGTCCAGGGAGCTATACTCATCAAGTGGTGTCCGTCAAGGATGCCCACTATCCCCATTCTTATTTAATTTTATCATAGATATTCTTATGGAGGTTTCCCTCTCGTCACCTAATTACAAAGACGTTGACCGGATCACAGGTGAATTTTCCTTAGATCTAGAATATGCAGATGACATAGTCCTGTTAGGTGAAGACGCTGACAAGATGCAGAGTCTTCTGAACACTTTGAGTGGGAATTTGAGAATGTTTGGGATGCGATTTTCACCACCCAAATGCAAATTTTTGCTCCAGGACTGGTCTTCAGCGGTACCGCGGTTAACAATAGAGAGTGAAGTGGTTGAGTGTGTTGACCACTTCACTTACCTGGGAAGTAGGATCAACCCTGGTGGGTTAGTTGCCGATGAGATTTCTGCACGGATACAAAAGGCTCGATTGGCTTTTGCCAATTTGCGCCACCTATGGCGCCGCCGTGATATTCGTTTGTCTATTAAGGGTCGCGTGTACTGCACAGCAGTCCGCTCTGTTCTACTGTATGGCTGTGAAACATGGCCATTGAAAGTGGAAGACATGAAAAGGTTTCAGGTGTTTGACCACCGTTGCCTTCGTAGTATAGGACGTATTCCGTGGTGTCACCATGTGAGTAATGCAGAAGTTAGGTGTAGAGTTTTAGGGAGAAGAGGTAAGTCAGTCGACGAGGTTGTGAACCTTCATCGACTGAGATGGTTGGGACACGTACTACGTATGCCTAGTCACCGATTGCCTCGTCACACAATGTTGGCTGAGGTGGGTTCAGGCTGGAAAAAGGCCCGAGGTGGCCAGACTAAAACATGGCACCAATGTATGAAGTCTCTGACTGTTGGTTTAAGCCATGTAGGACGATGCAGACTAGGTGGTTGGGGTCCACGGGACAAGAGGAACCAGTGGTTGGAGACCCTAGGTGATATGGCTCAGAACCGAAGTCAGTGGCGCAGATGCATGCACACTTTATGCACACCTTAACGCTATACGGAATCTCACCATTTTCTCATTCTTCCTTTCTCTTTTTTCGTACTTTATATTTCGTTTGACTGGGTTTTCTTTTCTTCATCTACCGCTTCGCTGCCTTCGTACTTGATGTGATATGAGGTGTGACAACTCGGAGGGTTAAGCAGTAATGCCTGGTTTTATGTTGATTTTTGGAAGGATGGATTGCCTCGCGAACAAAAAAGCAATCTATTTTACCAAAAAATTGTTTTGTCTGTGTGTATATGTGTACTGTCGATAAGTTTAGCAAATGAATTATACATTTCATTCTCGTCTATAACCTTCATAGCACTGTTTACGTGTGGTGGAATCACTTTGTAAGCATTGTCGAAGTTAGGCGAAAGGCACCAGGCTACACAAGAAAGAAGCAGGCTTACAATGACCTTCAGCGATTGATCTGTTATGACTATATGTTGCGCTTGCCAAACCGATTCCTACCTTTACGTCCAATATTGATCAGAGTACTATGAGTATAAAAGAAGTTGAATGAATGAATGAATGAATGAATGAATGAATGAGTGAGTGAGTGAGTGAGTGAGTGAGTGAGTGAGTGAATTTCCCGATGGGTACCTGACAACAGTCCGTGAAGCCCTTTACTTGCTTGGGTGACTGGCTGAGGTCTTCGAGACGATGTAAGACAGTGGTTGGAAATTTTTGGTGGCATTGCTGGAAACCAGTCATAATCGTGCAGATTTATACATTTTTTTCCGTCTTGGATGATTATATGAAGGTAGGGAAATACATAAATGAGATTTAATAACTGATTTCAGGTTAGAACTCATCATGGACTGACATCAGTTGAAGGAACATTGGGAACCTGGGATCACTAAACAACGGTTTCGTCCTAGCACAGGACTCATCATCCGTGGTCAATCATGACCATGCCAGGGATCGAACCAAAGACCTTCAGATTCCGCCGCCAGCATGTTGATATTATGCCACTGGGTCGGAATACAATAGTCCATATTTCCTGCTTCTGTCAACCCCATACTAAGACGAAACAGCTATGCAATGTTCCTCCAACTGATGTCAGTCCATGATGAATGCCATCCGGAAATCAATAAATAAATCTCTACAAACCTCCAGATAGAAATAATCTAGCGTTCATTGGTGACTAGCTGCGAAAGACGATTCCCGAAGTTCCAATGAGACCAGTGGAGCCAACCAACTCGAACACGAGGACAGTTAGTCAATGACGATATTGATCTGACAGAAGTAAGAGATGTGGATCATTGGATTGCGACCCAATGGCTTAATGGTAACGTGTTGGCCGCGGAACCTAAAGATCCTGAATGTTATTATGTCAACAGTTCTGCGAGTTTATAGAAAATTTCGGGATACACGGAAATGGAATACAAATATGAATTTATAATTTTAACTGTACAAAACAAGTGTAACGAATATACCAAACGCTTGGATAGTAAATTATTTTGTTTAGATGAAATTCTACATGAGTAAGTAAAGTAGAATGTATAATCGTTCATGTTACATATTATATCATTATTATTTGTCCGTTGGGTTCCTAGTGGAACATAGGACTTCAGTAGAATATCGCCTTTTCACTCTCTTCTCTGCAGTCTTTAGAACCTAGCCCGACAACTGCCTACAACCTTTCATTTCTTCTTCTCACGATCTCCTCCATATCATCCTCGAACACTCAACTTGTCTTTTTCCCATTGGGTTCCATTCGACGGCCTAACCTAGTGCGTGATGTCCCATATGGTCTTCTCACTGTATGCTTGATGCATCTCCACTTTTTTCTATCGCATATTTGTTGGGCGATAGGTTATTGTTTAGTTCGTTGCCAGCCAGCCAGAGTTCCTTATTGCTTATTCTTATTATTCTGGCTTTCTGACCTGATCTTGAGTATCGACTGAGCGTAGGCGGCAGGTGTTGATGTAGTTTATTGGAAATGCTTTTCGTAACGTGCCACCAAGTCTGTGAAGCATCATCACATGGAGGCACTGACTTTAGTGTGACTGAGATTAGTGTTGAAAATGCGGATGTTGTTCATGCTTTATGCTGAGTGCAGTGTAGTGCAGAGGAGTGGAATAGATCTGCACACTGATTTCAGATTGATGAAGACCTGTCTTGGTGTCTTTTTGATCGTGGCTTTGAGATCCTCATCTATGCCTGTACCGCGTGTAGTTGAAATGATGCTGCGTTGCCTAGGTAGGTGTTAAGTGAAGAGGAGAACTTCGTTTATATTTGTTCTGTTGATGGTGATTGGTGCTTGTTGTTGTTGTTGTTGTCGGTTGAGTATCTTCATCATCTGTATCTTCTCTCCTTTCACCTGAAGGAAGTCCTGTCTTCGCTGCCTCACCTGTTCTGTCAACTTGTTGGTTGTCGCCTGTAGATGTTCGAGTTTGTGCGACAAGATAGTAGACATAAATTGTCATTGGTGATATCCAAATGTTGTTGTGGGGTCGTTTCATCGGCTCAGCCAGGGTGTGCCCCACTTCTCGCTCCTTACAGTTTGTTGCATGATCCACTCCACCACAACTTTATTTGCTTCGCCATATAGCAAGGTATTTATACTCACTCTTGATGAGGTTATCCCAAAAAGTGATATCGTCTAATTGGAATTGGAAGGGAGTTCAGCTAGAAATGCGTCATTAACTATTATTATATTGTTTCTATCGATTTTCGTTATCATTAACTATTGGTTTTTCATATATTTTCTTTTCTATCTCCTAACCCGCATCCCTCGCCTATCAATCTCATCACTAAAACAAAGATATGATCCAAGAAAATTCTTCAAAATCCGCTTTGAATGAAACTGATATATTTGGTGTAGATCCCGCGCAGATGAGTCTTATTGACAGTCAGGTTAGTATGTTTTTGTAACGTTTTCTAATCTTCCCCTTTAGAATTGTTCACTTCAAGTCAGTTTTAGCAACTTCCATAAACGTAACGTATTATTACTATGATGAATATAGTAGATAGTCATATTTGTCTTCAAATTGGTTATGGAAGTACTGTAAACTTGCGATAAGTAGCCGTAGTTTAGGACACCTGACCAATCAGTATCCATACAACACTCTGTGAGTGATCGGGCTCAGCACCATCAGATCCGAGGCTAGTTTTGTTATGAAACGAAGTAATATTTGATAAGGATGAAGAGAAAAGCATGATCTGCTGCAGAATTCATAACATCACTCATCAAGTATGAATAATTTTAGTACATTAGTAATCTCTTTTTAAATAGCTTACTATATATATACACTTTTCATTCAGAGAGCGTTTGTAACAGATACATAGTAACATACTATCTCAACAAACGTTTATCGTTCTTGGTACAATATGAAAAGAGTAAATCAGCAGGAGGGGAAGAAGGAAAATCGTTTCTATCGTGAACAAGAAGCGAAGAAAGACTATCGAATTGGGGGTCGGACAACTAAGAATTTACAAGTGTGTGTGTGTGTGTGTTGGTGGGGGGGGGGGGATTGCTTCAGAGGGCAAGTACAAAAATAATGATAACCGCTTTATTCAAAACACTATATATGACAGTCTATTTTCATATTACGTAACATTTTTTCTCTGCCTTGTAAATGGACTCTTCAAATGAAGAGTTGGAAACAGTTTAAAATTGTCCAAGAGTACATTGTACATTTTAAGGACATATTTAAATGATTAAAACAAATTAGAAGAAAAGAATTTCATGAAAAATGTTCATACTTTGTTTGTGGATAACTAGAAGAGATTGAGTCATCAAGATATTTCCTAATGAATATGGTCCATGCATATCATCATATCTACTTGATTATAAATAGATAGATAGATAGATAGATAGATAGATAGATAGATAGATAGATAGATAGATAGATAGATAGATAGATAGATAGATAGATAGATAGATAGATAGATAGATAGATAGATAGATAGATAGATAGATAGATAGATAGATAGATAGATAGATAGATAGATAGATAGATAGATAGATAGATAGATAGATAGATAGATAGATAGATAGATAGATAGATAGATAGATAGATAGATAGATAGATAGATAGATAGATAGATAGATAGATAGATAGATAGATAGATAGATAGATAGATAGATAGATAGATAGATAGATAGATAGATAGATAGATAGATAGATAGATAGATAGATAGATAGATAGATAGATAGATAGATAGATAGATAGATAGATAGATAGATAGATAGATAGATAGATAGATAGATAGATAGATAGATAGATAGATAGATAGATAGATAGATAGATAGATAGATAGATAGATAGATAGATAGATAGATAGATAGATAGATAGATAGATAGATAGATAGATAGATAGATAGATAGATAGATAGATAGATAGATAGATAGATAGATAGATAGATAGATAGATAGATAGATAGATAGATAGATAGATAGATAGATAGATAGATAGATAGATAGATAGATAGATAGATAGATAGATAGATAGATAGATAGATAGATAGATAGATAGATAGATAGATAGATAGATAGATAGATAGATAGATAGATAGATAGATAGATAGATAGATAGATAGATAGATAGATAGATAGATAGATAGATAGATAGATAGATAGATAGATAGATAGATAGATAGATAGATAGATAGATAGATAGATAGATAGATAGATAGATAGATAGATAGATAGATAGATAGATAGATAGATAGATAGATAGATAGATAGATAGATAGATAGATAGATAGATAGATAGATAGATAGATAGATAGATAGATAGATAGATAGATAGATAGATAGATAGATAGATAGATAGATAGATAGATAGATAGATAGATAGATAGATAGATAGATAGATAGATAGATAGATAGATAGATAGATAGATAGATAGATAGATAGATAGATAGATAGATAGATAGATAGATAGATAGATAGATAGATAGATAGATAGATAGATAGATAGATAGATAGATAGATAGATAGATAGATAGATAGATAGATAGATAGATAGATAGATAGATAGATAGATAGATAGATAGATAGATAGATAGATAGATAGATAGATAGATAGATAGATAGATAGATAGATAGATAGATAGATAGATAGATAGATAGATAGATAGATAGATAGATAGATAGATAGATAGATAGATAGATAGATAGATAGATAGATAGATAGATAGATAGATAGATAGATAGATAGATAGATAGATAGATAGATAGATAGATAGATAGATAGATAGATAGATAGATAGATAGATAGATAGATAGATAGATAGATAGATAGATAGATAGATAGATAGATAGATAGATAGATAGATAGATAGATAGATAGATAGATAGATAGATAGATAGATAGATAGATAGATAGATAGATAGATAGATAGATAGATAGATAGATAGATAGATAGATAGATAGATAGATAGATAGATAGATAGATAGATAGATAGATAGATAGATAGATAGATAGATAGATAGATAGATAGATAGATAGATAGATAGATAGATAGATAGATAGATAGATAGATAGATAGATAGATAGATAGATAGATAGATAGATAGATAGATAGATAGATAGATAGATAGATAGATAGATAGATAGATAGATAGATAGATAGATAGATAGATAGATAGATAGATAGATAGATAGATAGATAGATAGATAGATAGATAGATAGATAGATAGATAGATAGATAGATAGATAGATAGATAGATAGATAGATAGATAGATAGATAGATAGATAGATAGATAGATAGATAGATAGATAGATAGATAGATAGATAGATAGATAGATAGATAGATAGATAGATAGATAGATAGATAGATAGATAGATAGATAGATAGATAGATAGATAGATAGATAGATAGATAGATAGATAGATAGATAGATAGATAGATAGATAGATAGATAGATAGATAGATAGATAGATAGATAGATAGATAGATAGATAGATAGATAGATAGATAGATAGATAGATAGATAGATAGATAGATAGATAGATAGATAGATAGATAGATAGATAGATAGATAGATAGATAGATAGATAGATAGATAGATAGATAGATAGATAGATAGATAGATAGATAGATAGATAGATAGATAGATAGATAGATAGATAGATAGATAGATAGATAGATAGATAGATAGATAGATAGATAGATAGATAGATAGATAGATAGATAGATAGATAGATAGATAGATAGATAGATAGATAGATAGATAGATAGATAGATAGATAGATAGATAGATAGATAGATAGATAGATAGATAGATAGATAGATAGATAGATAGATAGATAGATAGATAGATAGATAGATAGATAGATAGATAGATAGATAGATAGATAGATAGATAGATAGATAGATAGATAGATAGATAGATAGATAGATAGATAGATAGATAGATAGATAGATAGATAGATAGATAGATAGATAGATAGATAGATAGATAGATAGATAGATAGATAGATAGATAGATAGATAGATAGATAGATAGATAGATAGATAGATAGATAGATAGATAGATAGATAGATAGATAGATAGATAGATAGATAGATAGATAGATAGATAGATAGATAGATAGATAGATAGATAGATAGATAGATAGATAGATAGATAGATAGATAGATAGATAGATAGATAGATAGATAGATAGATAGATAGATAGATAGATAGATAGATAGATAGATAGATAGATAGATAGATAGATAGATAGATAGATAGATAGATAGATAGATAGATAGATAGATAGATAGATAGATAGATAGATAGATAGATAGATAGATAGATAGATAGATAGATAGATAGATAGATAGATAGATAGATAGATAGATAGATAGATAGATAGATAGATAGATAGATAGATAGATAGATAGATAGATAGATAGATAGATAGATAGATAGATAGATAGATAGATAGATAGATAGATAGATAGATAGATAGATAGATAGATAGATAGATAGATAGATAGATAGATAGATAGATAGATAGATAGATAGATAGATAGATAGATAGATAGATAGATAGATAGATAGATAGATAGATAGATAGATAGATAGATAGATAGATAGATAGATAGATAGATAGATAGATAGATAGATAGATAGATAGATAGATAGATAGATAGATAGATAGATAGATAGATAGATAGATAGATAGATAGATAGATAGATAGATAGATAGATAGATAGATAGATAGATAGATAGATAGATAGATAGATAGATAGATAGATAGATAGATAGATAGATAGATAGATAGATAGATAGATAGATAGATAGATAGATAGATAGATAGATAGATAGATAGATAGATAGATAGATAGATAGATAGATAGATAGATAGATAGATAGATAGATAGATAGATAGATAGATAGATAGATAGATAGATAGATAGATAGATAGATAGATAGATAGATAGATAGATAGATAGATAGATAGATAGATAGATAGATAGATAGATAGATAGATAGATAGATAGATAGATAGATAGATAGATAGATAGATAGATAGATAGATAGATAGATAGATAGATAGATAGATAGATAGATAGATAGATAGATAGATAGATAGATAGATAGATAGATAGATAGATAGATAGATAGATAGATAGATAGATAGATAGATAGATAGATAGATAGATAGATAGATAGATAGATAGATAGATAGATAGATAGATAGATAGATAGATAGATAGATAGATAGATAGATAGATAGATAGATAGATAGATAGATAGATAGATAGATAGATAGATAGATAGATAGATAGATAGATAGATAGATAGATAGATAGATAGATAGATAGATAGATAGATAGATAGATAGATAGATAGATAGATAGATAGATAGATAGATAGATAGATAGATAGATAGATAGATAGATAGATAG